TCTCATTCCATTCCCTTTTATGTGGGTTGCTGTCATTATAACCCCTCTATAGTTTCTATTCTGGCTCTGTCATTAGGTGGATTTCCCAGAAGAATTTTCCCAGGGACTCTGAAGAGATCATTCCATCATTAATAAGACGATTCACATTCACTCATCAGTTTTTCTTTATCTTTTCGCTACAAGAATTACAGATCAAACTTGCTCTGTGCATTTAAATAATTGAAAGCAATTAGGAGCGTGCAGCGCTCCTTAGTAGATGCGTTTTTAATTTTGGTTTCCTTTATTTACATTCAGTAATTCCCTGTTTTCGTTGTATACTCCATGGTTCCTCAGCCAATGAGCCACATACTGAAGAACAGTTGGCGCTGGGGCACAGCATGACCATTGATAATGAGTAAGGGGACTGATTCTCTTCTTGCTTATTCCACTGTTACACGACTGGAAATGGTGTTATGCCTGGTTTATGACAAAGTGAGAAGAGAATACAGCACCAGTGTCTTAAAACCAAAATAAGTGAGCCACTAGTGCAGTGGGTTGTCGAGTTTCTCAAGCTCACTGATATTCAACGTGAATTACTCAATGTAAATAATTGGGGTTCCCCTACAAGCTGCATCTTCATTCTACAGCAAGACCTTTAGGCTGTGTCTAGACTGGCAAGTTTTTCCGCAAAATCATCTGCTTTTGTGAAAAAACTTGCCAGCTGTCTACACTGGCCGTTTGAATTTCCGCAAGAACACTGACGATCTCATGTAAGATCATCAGTGTTCTTGTGGAAATACTGTGCTGCTCCCGTTCGGGCAAAAGCCCTCTTGTGCAAATCATTTGCACAAGAGGGCCAGTGTAAACAGCAATGGCGAAAATGGCGATCGGGGCTTTTTTCGGAAAAACGCATCTAGATTGGCCACGGACGCTTTTCTGCAAAAAGTGCTTTTGCGGAAAAGCGTCCTGCCAATCTAGACGCGCTTTTCCGAAAATGCTTTTAACGGAAAACTTTTCCGTTAAAAGCATTTCCGGAAAATCATGCCAGTCTAGACGTAGCCTTAGTGTACATGGCATCCTGGAGCAGCATAAAGGAAATTCTGCAGCATTTTCATTTTAATTCAAAATTATATTATTCCTTTTTATATTTAATTCAGTAAAAGCCTCCTTTCAGTTCTATACCACTTGTGTTAATTATTTTGGTATGAAATTCAACTCATTTCGAAACAGCTAATTCAGGAACAGCAGGAAACAGGTCTGCTCTGAAAAATCAGGCCAACTAATTAGATGCTGTAGGACTGTAGGCCCACATGAGAGCTAGGTGAATTATAGTTTTAAATTGAGTTGGGATAGTAACATAAGCAACAGGCCCAAATCACACATGAGAAAGAAAATTTCTTGTGTTGAACTCATACTGATCTTTCAGAAATACAAGTGTTATTTTAAGGTTTGATCTGAGGTAACAGAAATTAAACATGTTTAATTGGCTATCAATAAATAATTGGATATATAAGTTTATTTACTGTATTATAAAAGAACACCCTGCTTCATCTGCATTAGCTGGGGTCCAACAATTGGCACAGACGTTACTTGCTTGCTAAAAAGTAAAAAAAAGCAAACCCTTAAATGGTTCATTGTGAACACTTGCCCGACCAAGTTAGAGCAGACTAATATGGGTTGAACCATCCCTGGAGTTAGCCTTTTTGTAAGTAGTTTAGTCACATGCTTATATATGTTTTGTTACTGTTTCGATGTAATAAATTAGTTATTATTTAAACCTTTTAGACATTTTAGAGCAATTGTAGAAATACCACACAGACTTTATTAAATCTTAAGGCAATTATGGTTAAATTGATATGGTGACAGTATCCTACATTAATAATTCTCACAGATACATCATGCCAGGGACCCAGTTTTGAAAAATGCTGATCTTTGAAACTAGAGAGAACACAGGAATGAAGGATGGGATTCAAAAAAGGAAGTGAAAGAGCAATAATTTTTAGCATATGCCTTCTTGATTCCATTATTTGCTTGATTCCTTCCCTCACTCTTCTATTTTGATAAATTCACTTGAAGGGAAGAGATAAGAGTTGGCATATATTAGTATTATTGGGGAACTATTTTAAAGGGACAGTAAATGTGTGTGTATTTTTCCATATGTTGTATAAATTGTATCTAAGATACTTACAGGACCTTACATTACCATAACTTTTGAGCCTCTCACAGTCTTTAATGTATTTATCCTCATAACTCCCCTGTGAGGTGCAGAAATACTATTATCATGTCTTTACAGATGCAACATAGATCCTCAAACATATTTCAGTGCTTATATATCTTTGAGCAAAGGGGACCAGAAAAACCAAGTAACTTGCCCACCACAATCTTGCCTGTGGAAAAGCAGAGAATTGAAGCCAGGTGTCCCAAGTCCCAGGCCAGCACTCTAACCATTTGGCTATCCTGTCTCTCTCTCTGAGCCATATGAGGTCTGCAGAGTTAGCCAAATACAATACCTGTGACTGGTATTGTATATATAATACATTATGTCCACAAAAAATAACTAGAAAACCCTGTGCTGGATTGAAATGCAAGATAAGAAGTATGTGTTGTATATAAAAGTGTAACTAGAAACAGATATATGGTGATAGGTGTGGGTTAAATACATAGAAGGACAGAGTTGGAAACCAGACACCTTAGATCTATCAACACAAAGAGAGAGGCATCAGTTTCACTGACTTTGTGGTATATAGAGATACACATTCTTTTTCTAATCATTCACTGTTTTCATAAGATCAGAAGTCGTTAGTGTCTTTAATACTCTAGGGTATTATTATATCAGATAAGCTCTACCCAAAGTTTTCCTTCATCCTTTTATTATTTAAAAAAACCATTATTAATGAGGAACAACATGCAATTTTGTGCTTGGAATCAGATGAGATCAGAGATATCTCCTGCTGTGTTTTAATGTGCAATTGGAACAGACCTGTGAGTTAGTCACGAATAATGTAGCATCAGCTGTTACATTTATCTTAGTAGTATTTCCCTCAGGAGTTTAGCCAGATATTTGATTATGCATGTGTAACTAAGAGGGATTTCATCATGAGTAAAATATCTTAAAGTTGAGAACATACAACAAACTTTCTCTTTTCCACAACCAATAAAATTTGCCATTGACATATCAAAAGCGTTCTAGAGAAGAGCTGATTCCAATACACCGATTTTATAGGAACATTTGAGCGGGGACAGATCCAAACTCTGTCAAACATAGGGAGAATGGCAAGTTCAGTATCTTATCCCAGAGACAGAGTCAAATTTCAGATATAGCATGGGCTGAAACAAAACTCCCATCTGAAATCCCCCTCTCTGAAATCTACAATTCACATCCATCACTAATTTAAACTGAAAGGAATAAAATATTTGAAATGTAACTTATTCTCTGGGCCATCTTGCTTACCAGTTCACTCTAAGTTTATGAGAGCTAAGCTGGGTACACATTCATCAGATCCAGTGTTTTGTTATGTAATATATATTTGAGAAAGTTTGCCCATCCATCTGTGAGTCTGAACACAAGAACTCTTCCTAAACAGTAAGAGCTAGGTCCACCAAATTTGGTATGCAGCTTCCTCTTATCACAATTAAAAGCAAGGTAAGGTTTGGTTGTGCCAGGACAATGGGATGTGCCTGGAATATGATTGTTCATCGTTAAAAGGAAAGGGTGAGGTCTGCTAACAGGGACAATTATACTGTCTAATGACCACAGGAGGGCAGCAAGGGGCCAGAGATGGGGACCAGGAGAGCTATAACTCCAATGGAGCAGCAGGTGAAAAAAGGAACAGGGGTGAAAAAAGGAACAGCTATCTACTATATATTTCAGAGAGTTAGTTTGCATGTCTATTTGTGTGTCTGTATGTTCCCCACCTGGGGGGACATGCACCCCACCCCCGGTGCTGCCCACTGCAGCAGCCATGGACAGAGACTTCTCACTTGCCCCAAGCATTTGTGGTGAGTGAGGAATTGTCCTCTCTCCTTGGGGCAGCCTGTTTACTGACCCTCTCATCCCTAGATTCACCCAAGAACAATGATTTACAAGAAAAAAACCCAAAATTACTTGAATAAAGGACCCACGCAATGCCGGGTAAATCTTCTAGTTTACTAATAATGATATAGCCACATATGAAATTAGCACCACATTGTTGCCCATATGGCTTCATTATTTATGAAGATCTCTGTCTGGTCAGTATTCTCTTACCTTTCATTTCTCTCATTTGTTGCTTACCCAAGTAAATTTTAAATTAATATCCCATGCTCCAGGATAAGGAGAAAAATTAAATAAAGTTTATATTTCATGTATCATGTAACATACTAATCATGCTTAATCAACCTTTATTATATGAAGGGGTTCTGGTCCGTGCATGCTCCCTATGAGTAGGGGAAGCTGCTGCAGGAGCCGAAACTGTGCGTGGCTTTGATGATTCTGCCACAGACCGGGAAAGTGCTTTAGATGCTGGTCGAATGCCCACTGTTGCTGCCTCCGACTTCTCCTGACTCACCCGCGGCAGGGGGACGGCGGGGAGAGAACGGGCAGGAGAAGCCTTTTTCTTTTTTGTTTTAGGCACTCCTGGTGATAGCGCCTTTCTTTTCGGAGAAGTTATTTGCTCCTGTGAAGTTTGTACAGGCTGAAGAGCCTTGTCTCAGAGAAGAAGCTTGAGCCGGAGATCCCTGTCCCTGCGCTCCCGCGGGGTTAATTTCAAGCAATGAGCGCATTTTGGGGGTACATGGGACTCCCCCAAACAACGGACACAGACTGTGTGACCATCTGAGGCTGGCATAGCCTCTTTGCACTGGGAACACCGTTTGAATCCTGGTGTCCCAGGCATGATGAAATTGACTAGGCAAACTGCCGCACTGGCAGAAATTGACTAGAACAACGTCTTTCTCTCTTTTTTTTTTTTTCCAAAACTAACTAATTAACAGGAAACTAACTACTGAACAAAGACTAACTATTTTACAATTCTTTCTGACAGGATTTGCTCTGTGTCTGAGGAGATCACAAAGCTTCGCCAGCAACCTAGGACGGTTGAGAGGAACTGGCGGGGAGGGGGCAGGTCTGCGCTCGTGATCAAAGGCGAGAAAGCCGCGCGCTGCAGGGGGCATGCGCAGACCGGCCAAAGATGGCTCTGAAATCTTCCAACCAGTGGCGCCAGGATGGACCCGACACCTAGAGTGGAGCACCCACGGGGCCACTCGAAGAAGAATATATCTTTTCTTAATCATTCTGAATCTTAAATGAATGTCAAAGCATTTTCTACTCTTGTTTATTTTAAAAGGTGATGAATGGTACTTACAACAGTTGAATGAAAGTCAGTGCTGATGACAACATGCATCTTATAGGACTAATCTTGTTCCTAACCAGGCCCATAGCAAAATTGCCATTGACCTCAATGGTGCAGGATTGAGCCTTGTTTGCCATAAATATATTCTTGTGAAACAGACACAAGGGATTCGTTCAGAATGCCAGAAATGCATGCTGTTCCCTTTAAAGACACTGTTGAAATGTATAGGAAGAGCAATATTATATGCATATATCTTATAAAGATGTGTTTGCCAATATACTTGTAATAGAGCTCTCCTGTATATACATATTTTAATATTGTTTCAAATGTTTAAATCACTAGGCTGATACTACCACCTCTGGGCATCTGATTACCTGAAAGATGTAGACAAATTGGAGAGCGTTCAGAGAAGAGTAAAAAAAAATGATTAAAGGCTGGACGGATTTACTTCTGTGAAAGAATAATAAAGCTGAATCTGTATAGCTTAGGCTAAGCAATAGCTATGTTGTGAGGTAGGAGAGGAAGAATATATGAAAATAGTCTATAAATAGTTGAGAGATGGAAAGAGAGGGATTATATAGCAGCAGTAAAAAGCAAGGGTTCAGCAAGGAGTCCTAATACCAAGAAAAAATGAAATTATGACTATAAAATAGTTTTCCAAAGAAAATGATGAAAAACCTCTCTCATTACATCAGGGGAGGGGAACCACCAGCTTTCAGGCTGCATTAGGCTCACTACTTCATTTCATCTGGCCAGTGGCAAATCTGCTATTTCCTTGTGGCCCCAAAGCACAGGGGAAAATCAGATAAGCACTATGTGCTGCCCCCATCGCCAATGTCAGCTCAACAGCTCCCATTCATGGGAACCGTAGCCAGTTGGAACTATGAGGGCAGAACCTATGGGCATGGTAGAATGCACCATGCAGTGCCAACTGGAATCTCTATATAGAGGATGGATATGATGGCTGCTTCTGTGAGGGCCAGGATTGGCAGGGAGATTGCCTTAGCCCTGCTGTTCCACTGACGAGGAGCCAGCTCAGGTAAGCCAGAGCCTGCACCCTGAATACCCTGCCCCTGGTCAGAACCAGCTCCTACTCCCAAATACTCTCTCATAGCCTGCATCTGGCACCCTCTCCCACATCTTAGCCTCTAGCCAAAAACAGAAACATGAAATAGGGACATTGTCCTAATACATTATGCTGCTTAATTTCATGTACCTCTAAAATAAAATGCTGACCTGATGGTCCATAAAATGATAGGTGATCAGATTTCATGCTGATGGACATGGTATAAATATACTTAGATCAGTAGATCTGAACTATACGTGTACTTTTCAATAGCCATTTGTGTTATGGACATGAAAAATGGAATATGTTTATGGAGGAATAAGCATTTGTATTAGATCCAAAATGCTAAACTGAACAATTTTAGAAGACTTATTTTAACCAAGATAAAGAGAAAATAATAGTTGATAGTGGATGCTCCAAAAGTTTCTGTGTCTTCTCATATTCTCAACTTAGAACACTATTTGGTACAATACTCATTTTAGGTGAGATAAATGCTATTTTGAAGCTGGACAATGCAGAACAGCTATCATGTTAGCCTCACTCACATACACAGTATATAATGTTTCAGAGGTAGCTGTGTTAGTTGTTTTTGTTGAAACTGATAAGGACTCTGGTGGCAATTCAAAGACTAACAGTTTTATTAATGGCATCTCAAAACTTAGGCCATAATAAAATTGTGAATCTTTAAAGTGCCATCAGACTCCTTGTTGTTTTTACTGTATGTAAGAAGTTAATTACAAATGGATTCAGGAACCATATTTTTGGGTTTGCTTCAGCAGAATATTGCTGCCTGTCACTAGTCACATGAATGTAACACTTTTTCTTTATATAGCTTTGTTCAAGACATCCCTTAGCTAGAACAATACAGATTTGTACAACACATGACACTATATTCAAATTTTCCCATCACTCATGAACCACAAGGAGCTAATTAGGAGGTGTCCAGGGACTCTCTATTATGACAAGCAAAATATGTAGTGGCGGATCCAGGATGGCTGTAAGTGCTGCTTTTTCATATAAAAATACATTCTTAATTTTACTGATTAACACATAGAAATGGTTTATGTGGTTTATACTGACGTAAGTGTATAACGTCTGCAAGGAATGTGGGCAAAATCTGAATAACTCCACTGAACTACAAGTACTCTGACCAAATCCACTGTATTCGCACCTGTTGAGATCAGAGAATAGCCCTACGGTCATATTCTATTTCCATATGTAATTTTCAATTACAGCCTGATCTGCTAATGTGCTGACCTTGTGCTCTGTGAAAACGAGTGCCATAAATTCCAATTATGATCAGTAGAACTTTAGGGTGCTTAGTATCTTACTCGATTGGTTCACTCACTACCCACAATTTTTTTAGCAAATGAAATGAGATGAAAGAAAAGAAAAAATTGAAATGTTAAGACAAAGAATAAAATCCACTGAAGTCAATAGCAAAACTCCCATTCCAGTGATTCCAGCGAGGCCAGGATTCTACCTGAAGTCTCTAAAGATAGTGAAATCACACAGCTAAAAACGGGAAGGCGTAACCGGCACATAAGGAATCAGACCAAAGTGTTGAAAGCAAAACTGAGAGGATAGTTTATAGGTACTCTGTTCCTACTCATGCTGCTTATGATTACTGTTAGTGGTTAGCTGCCCCAAAAGGGGCAGCATGTGGAGAGTTGAGAAGAAATGAATGGGTAGACAATTATACTCCATCAGATGTACTTGAAATCAATCACAGAGCAGTTTACTCAGTTAGGCTGTTTTTCTGAGCTCAATGATTGCCCGAACAGTTCACTGGAGAACCTTAGTAATGATCCGGCTTTCTGCATATTGATTTTTTTAACAGCATTGTCATTTCAGCCAATAGACGTCATGTAAAGGCTAAATGAAAATGTTCCCTTTTATTGGACAACAAGTGTATCCATGTAGGAACTTTCCAGGCAAACAGAGGCAACAAAAAAAAAGAAAGTATCTCTTCAAACATTTTAGCAAAGGATGGGATGGAAGAATGGATAATAGGGGAGAAAGGGAAGGGGTTACAATTGGTTGCATTAATATGACTCAAGAACATTAATTCTTATTTAAATTTGTTTTGTAAAAAAGTATTTGAAATCACCTGCATATTAGATATTTTGTTATTTAACAATGTAAAATATATCGTATATTTGCCCAAATCATTCCACAAATGTCATCCACTATATTCTGAAGTAGGCCTTAGTCTGTCTGGTCAAATGTGGATCCATATTCAAAGTTTTGCTCAGGTAAAGAGAAGCTTTTACAAAATTTACAACCAGAGGAAAATGTTATTTATTGATCAAACCCAAAGTTTTTAAAAATATACACATTTTCCTAACATGTTAGCATGAGGGTGTTGAAGTTTGAATTGCAAACACACAACAGCCAGAAAACCAGAACGAAACTGACACACCACATTGTTTAATAGAAACGCATTGCACATTAAAGTTTTTAATATAAAGAAATTTTAAATACATTAATTTTAACTATACAGTGTCCTCTAAAGGCGCTCTAAAATCCCAAAGCAATGGTTTCTAATAGAAGCGTGTCACCAGTGCTGTTAGTTTTGTCATTGCAGCTACTAGTAAACTCAAATTCCGTTAATGCCTGACCACTACAAGACATATTGTAATGCTCTGTACCCCTCAGGGATTTTTGACAAGTCAATGGGTCTGATCTTCCATGCCCTCTGAGCATAAAATTCCCATTGATCTCAATAAGAGTTCTGATCTTTCCTGCATCTTATGTGCAGAGCCTTTAAGAAATAAAGAAAGCAAATCAATGCTGCCACACATTTTAATTTACTTATAAAGACTGCTATATATAGCTCTCATAGAACTCCATAACACTGGTAGTAGAGGGAAGGTCCTAAGTGAATGACCAAATACCAGGGTCATGAGTGCAGCCTAAGAACCCAAAACTAGATGTGAGAGGGGCAATGTTTTAGCACAGGGCTACTAGGACCCAGGGATTTTTTAGTTCTAATCTACTCACTCTCACTCCATCTCAGCTTTGCCAGCTGTAAAAAAAGGGATAAAATTTACCTCTCTCATCAGGGGGCATGAAGATTAGCTAGCAAGCATCTGGAAAACCCTTTGAAGATGAAAAGTGCTCTGCATTATTATACAATACCAGCATTCCAATTAAAACTTCTTGTCCTTCTTACTTTAGAAACTGTCAAACATGATATACTGTTCCATGCATCACAAAGATTAAATACATCTAATAAAGACAGGTTTAAGATGGACAGGATATTATCTTAACAAGGTTACATGCAAATGTAATTACTTGTTTGCTAATTCATTTCACTTAATGCACGAATTCTGTCAGCTTGCATCCTGCTTCATAGGATTCTAGAGTTCTGTGAATCAAGAGGCTGTTACTTCCTTAGCACGAGACTGAGCAACCTACTTACTGCTTCACCACTAGCTTGTTGGATGCAGCTCCATATTTCACAATAACTTTGTGAAAGTGTATTGCATCCTCTAATCCTCCTGCACTCTGAATTCAAAGTACTTTTCATTCTTCAGACAATTTCCAGACTGTTCATTCTAATCCCACCCCTTTGAGGTAGGGATCTAAAAAGGGTTTTTAAAAAGTAACCATGTAACCATTAAAAATCCTAGCAGTTACATGTGCTGCAGATTCTGCAATATAAGGCCTATACTGCAGAGCCTGCAGCGCAGCTGGCTCCCTGGGAGCGGGGCTGGCAGCTGGAGCCGGTGAGTACCAGGAGCCGGCTTATACTGTACTTATACTATACAATAAAAGCTGGCTCTTGGCATGCACTGGCTCCAGCTGCCAGCCCCCCTCCTGGGGAGGCAGCTGCACTGTGGGCTCTGCAGTATAAGCCTTACACTACAGAGCCCACAGTGCAGGGCTGGCAGTCAGGAGGCAGCATGTGCCAGCAGGGCAGAAGAGTTCAACCAGAACTAGAATCAGTACATTCATGCTTATCGATTAAATGCTTAAACTCTTACATCCTTATTTTGAAGTAAGGTCAGTAGTATTATATCAATTGTATAGTTGAAGAAACTGGAGTAGATAGCCTAAGCTCCTAGATTTCTAAAGGTATTTAGGTACCTAATGATAAAAATCCCACTAGGTGATTTTACAAAACTGGTTTGGTGACTGCTTAACGCCCAGTGAAATTAGTGTACATTAGGTGTTTAGTATCAGAGGGGTAGCCGTGTTAGTCTAGATCTGCAAAAGCGACAAGGAGTCCTGTGGCACCTTATAGACTAACAGATGTATTAGAGCATAAGCTTTCGTGGGCAAAGACCCACTTGGTCAGATGCATGTAGTGGAAATTTCCAGAGGCAGGTATAAATATGCAGGCCAGAATAAGGCTAGAGATAATGAGGTTAATTCAGTCAGGGAGGGCGAGGCCCACTTCTAGCAGCTGATCTGGAGTTGTGAACACCAAGAGGAGAAACTGCTTTTGTAGTTGGCTAGCCATTCACAGTCTTTGTTTCATCCTAAAATGATGGTGTCAAATTTGCAAAGTAAGTGTTTAGGTATTTTTTGAAAATCCCACTAGGAGCCTACCTGCATCTTTAGCTGCCTAATACCTCTAAAAATATAACTTTAAGTCACTTGTCTAAGAATACAGAAGGAGTTAGTGTCTCAGAGTGAGGACTAGAACTCAAGAGTCCCTGGGTTAGGCTCATCAGACTCAAGAGTCCCTGGGTTAGGCTGAGAACCAAGGAGATGCATAAGGAGTTGATTTCCTGGATTGACATCCTAGGCCAGTGGTCTCCAACCTTTTCACACCCAAGATCACTTTTTAAATGTCAGAACAAGCCAAGTTCTACCACCTCATCCTTCTCCCAAGAACCCACCCCTTCCTTGAAGCCCTGCTCTCTCTATTCTCCTTCTCTCCATCACTTGCTATCCCCAGCCCTTATACACTCTCACTAGGTTGAAACAGGAGGTGTGGGGTGGGAATGAGGGATTTGGATGTGGGAAGGGGTGAGAAGTACAAGCTCTGGGAGGGAATTTGGATGCAGGAGAAGGGGATGTTGGCTTGGGGAGGGGGCTCCAGGCTCGGGAGTGTTGGGCTCAGGTGGAAGGCTGGGGTGCTGAGCAAGCCATGGGCTTGTGGATGTGAGGGTGCAGGAGTTTGGGCTGGATATGTGAGGGACTCAGGGCAAGAAGGCTCTGAGTATGACGGGCTCAGGACACAGATTTGGGGTCAGGTGGAGCAGGAGTATTATGATGCTGCAGTGAGATGGGGGTTTGGCCCCAATTGGGGGCTTGTTGGCCAGGCTTCAGTTTTAAATAAAATATGTCATCCTCAAAAAGTTTTAGCATTGTCTCTATTTACGAGAGGGGTGAGGAACCTGTTTTGAGTCAGGGGTCACTGACCCACAGAAAAGTCTGTTGGGGCCACACAAGTGAGATGCAAAATAACCCCAACAACCCTCCAAAGACCCCGAAGCCTCACTAATGTGGTCCCAAATGTGCTGGTGGGAGCAGGGGACAGAGTTCTCATGTATGAAATCATTTAGCATTGTCTCTATTTACGAGAGGGGTGAGGAACCTGTTTTGAGTCAGGGGTCACTGACCCACAGAAAAGTCTGTTGGGGCCACACAAGTGAGATGCAAAATAACCCCAACAACCCTCCAAAGACCCCGAAGCCTCACTAATGTGGTCCCAAATGTGCTGGTGGGAGCAGGGGACAGAGTTCTCATGTATGAAATCAGAGCTTCTTGCGCAAGAACTATGATGCTCCTGCTCAGGAATAAGCCCTTTTGTGCAACTGTTCTTGCGCAAGAGGCCAGTGTAGACAGGCAACATGAATTT